CAGATATTTTTAGGCCAGCACCACAAACCCATCTCCCCCACTGTCTGCCTGGGTAGCAGTCTCCACAAAGGCTCTGCACCGAGTTCCCCCCCTCTCCCTTAGGCTGTCCGCTCAGAGCCAGGGCTGGGGGGGACCTTTTGGACCCGGACCCTATTACAGAGAAGGCTCCAGTGCTTAGCATTGCCAATCCAGCTCTACACACAAGCAGGGAAGCAAAGGCAGAGAAAACTGGGCCCCAGCCAACACAGCTGGGATGAGGAGGGACCAGCCCGACCCCACTCTGTCTCGTGGGAGAGTCTGTCATGGTCAAACTGCAGCAGAAACTGCTGGTGACCAGGGGCCATGAGAAGCTGAGGATTCCTGCCTAAATTTGGCTCCAGGCCTTCATTGAAACTACAGGAGTTTTGGAGCAAAATTCCCGCTGGAAGCTGAACTGTCCCAAGGCATGGAAGTGCTGCTGATCTTGCTTCAAGCTATCCGAGGGGTGAGGCCCAGGTTCAATCACTGCAGAGCTGAGAAGTGTTTGGAGCAGATTCCTTCTGTCTGCATTCCTGTACAGCTCCTCAGCACACCCCGGGACACCTACACACCTGAATGACAGACAAGGGAAATTGAGGCACAAAAACTAAGGACCAAATCCAAGAGAAGGACTTGGTACCTAAGCTGATTCTGGGCACAACTGAAGTTGCTAAGTGGGGGTTGTATACCTCCTTTCCTGAAACCCAGGTGCCTGAGCACTCAGCATCACATATTTAAGGCCCTTTTTCCATCTGTCCCTAAATGACTTGACCAAGGTTGTACATGGAGCCTGTGTCACAGTTGGAGTCCCCTGAGTCTCAAAGCCTTATCCAAAGGACAGGCCTTCCCAGTGCCATAGCAAGAGGGGGGCGAGTGGGGCAACCGCCCCGCATGCCAAAGTGAAGGGGTGCCAACAGGCACTGCCCAGCCAGGGTAGGGTGTGGGTCAGAGCTGGAAGCGGCTCATTTGAGGGAGTGCGGGGACAGGGGGAGAGTGGTTCCCACCGCTGCAAGCACTCCCAGGTAAGCATGGGGAGTGGGGGCATGTGCCCCTCGGATCTGTGCACAGGGTGAGGGCAGGCTGCCACTGTGGGCTTTGCCCCAGGTGCCAAACTTCCTTGTCACGGCACTGGGCCTTCCTCTCCCAGCTAGGGACAAAAACCCTAAAGTTAAACATAAAGTTCTCACCAGGTCTGGGTTCGACTCTGGATCTTATCTGAATTCTGGGGTGTTGAGATATACGGCTTGTAGGGACAGGAGTCTGCCACCCAACACAGTCTGTGCTTGGCCATGGATTGTGAATGCTCTTCCAGCAAGTGTGTGTGTGAGAGCACATGGGGTGTGTGGATATGCATGTGGAGATGGATACGTGCATGGGGGGCATGTAAGGGAAGGTGCACTGTGTGGGGCGAGGGGGAAACCAGGCTCAGCTCCACGTGACAGAGTGAGGACTGAGCCTAGAAGGCAGATCCAGAGCAGGATCTGGGATAACCGCCCTTGACAGAAGGCAGTGGGACTCCAGGATTCACTGCACTGGATGCCCCCTCCCCAGCCATGAGCTCGAGCAGCGGGCTCGCTGGGTCAGTCCCAGGACATGCTCAGGTGCTGCTATTGTGCACAGGCTGCTCCGCTGCTGGTGCCTTGCCTGGCCTCCACCATCCCTCCCCCATGACAACAGGCTACTGAGAGCATTTGCTGCTCAGAGCAGCCCCTTCTTGTTCCCAGCTGGCCCCTCCTCCATCCCAGCTGCTCTGTCAGGCTCAGCCGGCACTTGGGCCCTTCCAGTCCAATGCGAGTCCAAGCACGGAGACTGCTGCACATCCTGCCCAAGGAGCGGGAGCGCTAGGATCGCACCTTATATGGTGCGATCCATGAGGGGAGCCATGAGATTCGTGCCGGGGGTGGGCAGTGTTGGGAATTCTCCGTGCGCTCCGCCTTCCCCTCCGCCCCTCGCAAGACTCTCTTGTTCTCACAAGCCGCAGCCACAGCCTGTCTGTAAGCACAGATATGATGGCTCTGAATAGGCCTGTCTGGCTCCGAAGTGCCTGAGAAGCCAGCCCTCGCAGAGACCAGCAGAGAAGCGCCAAGTGGAGCAATCGCTGGGTGGGGACTCTGCCTCTGATTCATTCATCCTGGCAGAGCCAGGAGCTGGCAGTTTTCTGGGCCAGCTGCAAGGGGAGGAAGATGCTCTTCTCCAAAGGGGGAAGGAATGGATATGGGCTCCTCTCACAGGGCTCGCTGCTAGGGCACCCAAGGCCTCATGCACCCTGGAGAGCTGTGTGTTAGATCAGGTCAGATGGGTCCACTGGGACCTCTGGGCTTAGGAAACAGGGAGGGGAGTCTGCAAAGGAAACTGGAGAAGCAGGTGACAAGATTAAAGGAGGGAGGGTTCTGCTGGCTGCTCTGACAGCTGAGACCTGTCACACCTTCACCCTGGAAATGAGACACGTCAGAAACCCAGGTCTTGATTGTGGGGCTGGGCCCCACCTCAGAGCACCCACATGACCTCTTTTCCAGGGTGATGCCCACAATGCCTGAGCGCAAGCGCCGCATGTGTTTCTTGAACAACACGACTAAGCTTTTTGCCACCATGGTGCAGATGTCACCACAGGATCCAACATTATGGAGCTTAGAGATCCTGAGTCAGCCCCAACAACCCTTGAGGTGGGCTTCACAACCTTTTCTTCTAACAAGGCAGAAACAATGCTTTGTGTACAAGCAAAAAACCTGAGATCAGTGGTGAAGCGTAGGGGGTACATGAGGGTGCATGTGCACCCCCTGAGAGCGCTGGTGCACCCCCTGACCAGCGCTTAGTTGATGAACGGGGGGCGCCAGCAGGAGCACTGGCAGGGGAACGAGAGCACCAGATGTAGGCTGTGACCACTCAGTAAGTTTTGCCACGGAGGACCGCCCCCCCAATCGCTGACTGGTCACTGGGTGGGGCATGTGCCCCCCCTGACTAAGGTGACACCTGTCGCCCATGCCGGAGATATTCGCTGGAAATGCTGCTCCAGCAGCACTCCACACCCCAAGCAGAAAGCTCGATCCAGGGAGGCGCTGAGTACCCTCAGCTTGCTTTGACACCAGTGGAAATCAAGGCTGCTCAGTACATGCCTGGAGGTGCTCAGCACCCTGGATGATAGCAGCGCTCCATGTACATTGGAAGAGCAGCATGCCAGCAGCCACTGGCACTGGGAAAGTCCACAGGTCACTTCTGGCCTAGCTAGATTCTGTATGGAGCAGGTTTCTGAGCATGCATGCGTTCATATAACAGGCCAGCAGGAGCTGCCCTGGGGAAAGAGCCTCAGCGTCACTGCACAAGAAGCCAGCAGTTCCACGCATCTCACTGCGTGCAGCAGTTGGTAGCCAATGGTCCTGCTCAGAGCCTGGGGGAGGAGGGGGTGTTAGCATGAACAGCAGCTCCCCACCTGGCTGCTTAAGGACAGCAGGGACAGGCTCTACCAAGGAGACAGTCAGTCTGACGGCAGACACAGCAGTGATGCAAGGAGGGAACTTCTAGAAACACCAGCAATACGGGGATGGGGCACGCAGGGAAACAAGCTTGGACCATCTCATCCTGCCTGCCACAGAGAAGAGACTGGGACAAGGCTGTCCCATCCAGAGCAGCAAGCACTGGGCACTCCTGGAATCCACACAGCTCCAATCGAGCCTCAGGCCAAAGTGAGGCTGACCTGACCTGGGATAATCTGACCCTTCCAGTTACCATCAGAAAAACCAATCCCCGCTGTGCACAATCCCCTTCATTTGCCTCTGGGCTCCTGGGGGCAGGGTCTTAATTACTTGGCACATTTGCATTTTATTTGACATGCAAATCCCTTCATTAGCTGTGTTAAGTCTGTGCATGTTTATTGTTTATGCCACCATTCAGAAAAACATTTCTCTCCAGGACAGTACATGCTGAAGGGCTGCGCCAAATAGAGATGAATATAAGCACGCACCTCTGTGCTTTTCAGAGTCAGTGCTGTAATATTGCTTTCAGCTCTAGGGCTGAATAAATCAGCACTTCCCAGATATTAATTCTCAGCAATTCTCACCATGCAAGAATTTCACAGGCCTTTGTGACATTCTGCAATGTATTCAGCGCTTGGAATGATCAGTGAATTCTTCCAGAGACAAGCTCGCTCTTTGCTAGTGGCTTGCAATTATGGCCTTGCAAATATTCAGCATATAACATCAGAACAGGGGGTTACTTAAATCAGCTGCATGGCAGTACTCCTCTATCTTGGTCAGATGGTTTGCAGCTTGAAGTAGGACTTGCTTCAGTGGGAAGTTATTCTAGAATAACTTTTCCTGAGGGATCCATTAACTTTCTCTGCACATACTCTAAAATGAGGGTGCCTTGCTCCAAATGATCTTAATCCATTTGGGAAGGGGATTAAATTAGTTCAAAATAAAGCAACCTCATTCCAGAATAAGATGGACCTCAAAGGGAGTTATACTAGAATAGCTCTTCTGCTTGAAATACTTTCC